AGCGAACACACGCACCTAAGATGACTTGTGGAAAGCACTTACAGTGAATTACAGTAAGTAAGAAGGATTTAAAATTCCCCTTGAGGGCTCTTCAACAGGCAGACGCTCGGCGTGGAAGTGCTGGGAAATTACACCGGCTTCCCTCGGTGCTTGTAAAAAAATCGCAGATCATCATCTGCTACAAGTCTGCATTTTACTACCATTTGACTCACCATTCTGAATACAGGCAGTGGGGAGCAAAACTATAGACCCCAAAAAGGCAGAGGAAAGGGTCTTAGAAACCCCCTTAGATATTTAAAACATGTGTTAGGACACTGTACACAAAACATTTGCAGTACATCTCTCCAGCCTTCCCTTCTTGTCTTGCCCAGTTGTAAAGGCTCCTCTTCTCTATTTAAAAAGGAGCTTTAGTCTTTCCCCCCCCCCCCTCCTGCTTACCTTTTACTCTCTTCTGCACTGTAAACCTACTCACCTAGCCAGAGGATCCAACGTTGAGCTGCTGGAATCCTCCTCTCTGCAGCCACTGCATGGGTCCGATGCTGCTATGTTGCCGGTGGCAGCTGACGGCTCTTCCGGTCCCAGCTGACGGCTCTTCCGGTCCCAGCTGACGGCTCTTCCGGTGCCAGCTGACGGCTCTTCCGGTGCCAGCTGACGGCTCTTCCGGTGCCAGCTGACGGCTCTTCCGGTGCCAGCTGACGGCTCTTCCGGTGCCAGCTGACGGCTCTTCCGGTGCCAGCTGACGGCTCTTCCGGTGCAGCTGACGGCTCTTCTGGTGGCAGGCACTGCTAGGCCCGCCCCCTCCTCCTCAGTAAATGGGACTGAATGTCATTAATCTCAGGAGGCACCGGGGGGGGTACCACGTCATTCGCCTAGGCAATTTCCATAAGTCACGGGAGGGGATATCGGCACTGCAAGGGGAAGGGGCAGTGGTGTATTTAGGTTTCGGTCTGCCCTAGGCAATACAAAAATCGGCTCCCCCCCCTCACATGGAGAGACCGTGACACTGACCAACACCCCCCTCCCCCACAAAGAGAGCCTGACATTGACCAATAACACCACAGCCCCCCCACCCGAGAGAGCCTTCTACTACCACCACCCCCCCCGTACACTGGCCACCCACCCCACACCGGCGAGAGAGAAGACACTCACCTTCACAGCTCCGGGCATGCCCGGAAACAAGAGTCGGGCTCTGCATACACAATCAAGCAGTCCCTCTCAGATCCCACCTGGTCCCCATGCTGCATGTGTTCCTTCTTCCAGGAGGCAGCGCTGCCCCCCTGAAAAATGCTGCTGCCCCCCTGAAAAATGCCACCCTAGGCAAATGCCTTGTGGTAAATAGGCCCTTGGGGGGGGCGGGATGAAGGGGAGGAGAGTGCTGCAAGAGGGTGAAGGTCCGCTTTAAATTGCTGATTTCACTGCACACTGAGCAACTCCCAATGTGCATTAGAAGATGCAAGTCAGACAGAGCCCACATCATCATCTGGTTTATAGGGCATCTTTATAGGGCATCAGCATGAGCATCATCTAGTACTCCCCCCAGGGTGGATAAAAATCAATGATTTTTTTTTTTTTAATCAAAAAAAAAAAAAAAAAAAAAAAAAAAAAAAAAAAAAAAAATCGGATTTTTTTATTTAAATCGGATTTTTTTAAATAAAATGCTTTTTGAGAAAAAATATATTACCATCCAAAGGTTATTCCATCATGAAATAAAGATTCGTTTTTTAATTATGTAGAATAAGGCTGTATATGTTTAATTTTTTTGGTAAATAAATTCCATGAATCCATTCACAATGTCATGCTCTTCCAGAGGTTTTTGTAAGATTATTGGGCAGTTTCTCTGCCTACAAGATATTATCACAGATGTTTGGTTTACTTTTGCAGTTCTCAAAACTGAATTTGACTCAGCGGAGATCACATGCCTCTTCTTCACAGCAAAAATGTTATAACATGAACAGAGTTAAGAAAAAGACCTTCATCCTAACTTCTACAAACCTATGAATACAGAATCAACCCCTTCAGTGCCAAGTTTCAAGAAGTTCAGTGAATAGAATAGAAACAATATTTTTCTGATTGTTTGGAGTGGAATAGATCTGCACAAGAAGAAAGTGAAACTAAGTGTGAGGAGGAAGGGGCTGACAGTCTAAGTTTCTTCAAATATATATATTTTGTTTAGCCAAATTAGTTAACAAACATGGATGTTTAAGCAAATCACATATGCTGGAATGTTATTGTTTCAGTTGAATAAATCTATTTAAATTGTTATTATTAAGGTAATGATTATTTTTCTCCTTCCTAAGTACAACAGAAAAGTTGTCCAAATATGAATGATTAACCTATTAAACTGGGGATAAAAAAACTAATATGAAAAGTTGTTATTCTAAAAATCTTCATCTACTTGTATATTAAAGTTATACCAGCAAGAATTAGTCTTTATGTAGAAAACTAGGATTTACATCAAGCCTTACTGACTAGTGATTTAAATCGTGATTTAAATCAAATCCACCCTGACTCCCCCCCATCCTCTGTGACTGTCCCTGGGTCACCCCATCTTTCGCTGGATTGCAGATTTTAGCAGATAGCACGGGACGTTAGGAGTTCACCGAATGTCTGTTAGATTAACAGGTATTGTTCTGTACTTGCAGAATCTTTAAAGCTGAAGTTTAATCTGTTTAATATTTTGTCTTCCCTTTTTTCCCTTCCTTCCTCACCAACATATCAACGAAATAAAAAAAAAAAAAAAAAAAGTTTGATTTTAATTACATACCTTATTTTAGAACCAGTAATGTCATCACTGGGCTGCTATGCCTCCCTATGCAATGCAGACAGATCATGGCTGGTGGTAAAGGCCAGCAGAATGCTGTACATAGTTCCTGAAAACATCGCAGCACCCTGCCTCAGAACTCCTCAGTCCCGACCCTTTTGATATTTACAGAACTCATATGTAAATATTAAAATATCCTGTTCTTGTTGGGTGGATGTCTAGAGTAGTGGTTGTCAAATGCAACCCATCAGCAAAGGGCCGCACATAATGTTTAATATATGGAATGCTTCGGAGGATTATCAGAGACTGCAGACTGAATACAGGAAATGAGAGAGTGGACACGCTACATTTATGGATGAGAATATGCTGCAGGAGTCAATACGAAACTGGGAACTAGTGATGCACCGAAATAAAAATTCTGGACTGAAACCAAAACTGAAAATTCAGGATGCACTTGGCCGAAAACCGAAACCAAAATAAACAATTTTTAAAAAAAAAATATTTCTAATATATAAAATGGTATTATTTTCGACTTTTTAATTAACACAGTAAGTCCCTGACTTATGAACGAGTTTCGTTGCGGGAGAATGTTCCTAAATCGGATTCGCTCGTAAGTCCGACAAAGTGAGTCCTTTACACCTTTGACACAAATATACAAAGTAAAGCATAAAAAAAATAAACGCACACAAAAATACACGATTTTGCATTGGAGTCAATAGGATGTGATTTTGTATTCAAGCTAATAGGGAGCATTTTTACTTTGGAATGAGATGCAATTTTGCATGGGAGTCAACAGGCCGCAAATTTGCACTAAAAGTCAATAGGGGGAGTTTTTTTTTTTGCTGGAGTCAATGGGATGCAATTTTGCATTGGAGTCAAAAGGACGCAACTTTGCATAAAAAGAAGTCAATAGGGGGCGTTTTTAAATTGGAGTCCATGGGACGTAGTTTTGCGTTGGAGTCAATAGGATGTGATTTTGCATTGAAGTCAATAGGGGGTGTTTTTCCATTGGAGTTAAGGGTGCGTGATTTTGCATTGAAATCAATAGGGGCGAGTTTGCATTTGGGTCAATAGGACACAATTTTGCACTAAAGTCGATATATTGGTGCATCACTACTGGGAACATGTGACATGAGACTAATTGAGATCAATGCTGTTACTCTAATCAACGTTCCCACTACATAAAAAAGAGAGGAAGGCACCTCTAAGTGCAGTATTGACAATTTAATAAACAATAGATAAATTGCACTTACAAGATAAATAGTAAAAAGACTCATGTGGTGTAATAAAATCCAGGTGGAACATCCAGCCGTCCAGCAGCAAACTCTGTCTATAGGATCAGGAAGTAGAGCCCAGGATGTGCCTGTGCATCAAGAATGAGGCTTGGAGAGCAGAGTCACATGTAGGAGGTGAAGGGGGCGGTAATGCATTTCAGAGGTCTGAAGAGGGAGCCTACTGAGCATGCTCTGAAATGCATTACTGCCCCCTTCACCTCCTACATCCAACTCTGCTCTCCAAGCCTCATGTTCCACCTGGATTTTATTACACCCCATGATGAGTATTTTTTAATTATTTTCCTTGTAAGTGCAATTTATCTATTGTTTATATTGCACTTAGAGGCGCCTTCCTCTCTTTTTTATGTTACTGTATTAGAGCCTTGCTTCCACTCTAAAAAGAGCTGCCTCAATGTTACTGCTGCCATCCATCCGATATAAACCTGGCATCTTTATCCTACAGCTACAGAGGTTGGGCTCCAACAAGCGCGCCCTATATAATATACATTTTTACGTTCCCACTACAGCCTCCTGAGGTCCAAGGGCCACACATCATATACCAAGGGCCACAAGTTGGGCCCCAGGGGTCTAGAGGAGTGGGCATTTCTAGACAAACGGCATTTGCATTCAGACCTCCCTCGTTAAAGCCCACATGTGAATAAATGAAAGGGGTGGGCCAGAGACAGTTATACTACAAAGCAAAGGGCTAGATGATGCTGGACATCCTCCAGCCAAGAAATTATGCAGACTATTTGACTGGCTGCAGCTTCTAATGCACATTGTAAGAAAATCAAAGTAAGCAACTTCAGTACAAGAGAGGAGCCTGTACAACTGGGAAGGCTGGGCTTCAGCATTAAAAAAAATAAATAAAAATTTTTTTACAAAATTCCATTTAACACACAATGTGGATTTTGCATCTTCAGAACAAATGACAATTTTGCTATCCTAAATAAAGCAGAGTTTACCTTGGGGGCACCTCAGTCAGTTGATTTTTGATGAAATTTACTGTGGTGACAAGACAGGAGCCGACAGCATCGAAAACTGCATCTGGAATGGCAGCAGCCTGCTTGTCGCTAGAAAAAGAAAAAAAAAGGAGAAACAAAATGAAAATGTAACATCTGGATCACTCAAAGTGAACAACAAAAACAGGAACATCTGCAATGAAGGAAAAGGTCTGTGTTGGCGCGGGACACTGGGGGGTGATGCAGTAGTCAAGGTGGAATATAATGGGGACATGCAAGAGCATCTCAGGTCTGACATCCCTGATCAAGGGACAAATACATGGAGGATGAATAAACACAAAATTGTCATTTACCCCCCGGTCACACCAATCCCGACTTTGAAATTGCTTGACTTCATTGAAGTCGCAAGCAATTTCAAAGTCAGCTGACATGCCGATTTGAGGTGCGATTTGCATAGACATCTGACACAGATGTCTATGCAAATCGTACCAAAAGTAGCGCATGCACTACTTTGGAAATCGATGCGGCTCCGACCAACTCAGAACCGCACCGATAGGACCGCTGTAATTGCAGACAATAGGGTGCGACTTGGCATGCAAGTTTGCAAGTTGCAGAGCATGCAAATCGCATGCCAAGTCACACCCGAGGTGTTAGATACCATGTATCCTATTAACCCACTTGCCCTCCTGAGGATTTACCCCCCTTCCTGACCAGGCCATTTTTTGCGACACGGCGCTGCGTTACTTTAACTGACGATTGCACGGTCATGCAACTCTGCACCCAAATTGAATTTACGCCCTTTTTCTCCCATGAATTGAGCTTTCTTTGTGTGGTACTTGATCGCCTGTGCGTTTATATTTTTTGCACTATAAAAAAAAAAAAAGACTGACAATTTTGAGAAAACAACTATATTTTTGACTTTTTGCTAATAAAGATGTCCAGTAAAAATATTTAAAAAATCTAATTTCATCCTAAATTTATGCTAAAATGTATTCTGCAAGATGTCTTTGCTAAAAAAAAAAAATCCCAATACGTGTAAATTAATTGGCTTACTTGAAAGTTATAGCATTTACAAATGGCGGTATAAATACTGGGATTTTTTTTTTTTTTTAATTTTTACTAGTAATGGCAGTGATCAGTGACTGTGGGCGGACATTCTGACACTGGGGGGGAACTGACTTGGTGTCACCAATACAGTAATCCGTGCTAAAACAAAAAAAAAAAAAAGTATTGACATTGTACCAATGGCACTGGGCAGGAAGGGGTTAACATAAGAGACGATCAAAGGGTTAACTGTGTGCAGGGAGTGTATTACTAGGGGGCGGTGTCTTCACTGTAAGCACACTGCTCTGGATGGCTGTGCTGTACAGTACACAGCCATCCAGAGCAGTGTGCCAGAGCTGACAGGGAGGACGACTTAGTAAACAAAACAGTCCTCCTTCCCGTCGGTGATTGTCGGAAATAACTGGGCGCCGGGAGTAATTATCCAGCTGGGGCCCGGTGATTGACAGCAGTGGCCATGAATGGTGGTGTTGGGTAGGGCGCGCGAGCCGCACACCCCCTACCCAGAAATGCAAAATCACTTATATATACACGTGATTTTGCGCACAATGCCGTGCCGCCCTGTAGCAGTATTTCTGCTATAGGGCGGACAGGAAGTGGTTAAAGCACATTTCCTTTTTTAACAACTTCCTGCCTGGCCTATAGCAAAATAACGGCTGGGTGGGACTTTAACAAGCAGTTCACATCTAGGGCGAACAGTGGGTTAAATGTGTACCTAACATTATGTAATGTGTGTATTATGTGCTGCTTCTACTAAACAATCTCTAAGTGATCTCCCCCCTCTCATGATCTCCTGCTCTCAAGCTCCCTGGTCTCCTCCTCCCATGCTAGTCTCCAGGACTTCGTCAGAGCCTCTCCCATTCCTCTGGAAATCTCTACCTCAATCTGTCCAGTTATCCCATACTCTGGCTGCCTTTAGGCGATCCTTGAAATCTCGTCTCTTCAGGGAAGCCTATCACACCTCTGTGTAGACATTTATCACTTCCATCAGCTCATCCCCCCCACAGGTATGACCCTTTGTACCACTTGCCCCACCCTATTAGACTGTAAGCTCTTATGAGCAGGGCCCTCTAAATCCTCGTTTTTTTATTGGCCACAGGTTTATAAAATCTAGCACCTAGGCATGCAAACTGCTTCTACAAACATTTCTGAAAGAATGGGTTGCTCTCAGGAGCTCAGTGACTCCAAGCGTGGTCCTGTGATAGGTTGTCACCTGTGCAATAAGTCCATCCGTGACATTTCCTGGCTACTAAATATTCCACGGTCAGCTGTTAGTGGGATTATAAAAAAAAGTGGAAGCAACTGGGAACAACAGCAACTCAGCCACCAAGTGGTAGGCCATGTAAAATGACAGAGCGGGGTCAGCGCATGTTGAAGCGCAGTGTGCAGAATTTGCCAGCCATCTGCACACTCAATAGCTAAAGACCTCCAAACTTGGTGTGGCCTTCAGATTAGCACAACACCAGTGCATAGAGAGCTTCATGGAATGGGTTTCCATGGCCGAGCAGCTGCATCCAAGCCTTACATCACCAACTGCAATGCAAAGATTCGGATGCCATGGTGTAAAGCACGCCACCACTGGACTCTAGAGCAGTGGAGACGTGTTCTCTGGAGTGACCAATCACGTTTCTCTGTCTGGCAAACTGATGGACTTGTCTGGCTTTGGTGGTTGCCGGGAGAACGGTACTTGCCTGACTGCATTGTGCCAAGTGTAAATTTTGGTGGACGGGGGATTATAGTGTGGGGTTGTTTCTCAGGGGTTGGGCTTGGCCCCCTAGTTCCAGTGAAGGGAATTCTTAAGACGTCAGCATACCAAGATATTTTGGACAATTTAATGCTCCCAACAATTGTGGGAAGAGTTTGGGGATGGCCCCTTCCTGTTCCAACATGACTGCGCACCAGTGCACAAAGCAAGGTCCATAAAGACATGGAGGAGCCAGTTTGGGGTGGGGAACTTGACTGGCCTGCACAGAGTCCTGACCTCAACCCCATAGAACACCTTTGGGATGAATGAGCGGAGACTGTGAGCCAGGCCTTCTCATCCAACATCAGTGCCTGACCTCACAAATACGTTTTTGGAAATATGGTCCAACCTTCCCATAAACACCCTCCTAAACCTTGTGGACGGCCTTCCCAGAAGAGTTGAAGCTGTTATAGCTGCAAAGGGCGGGCCAACTCAATATTGAACCCTACGGACTAAGACTGGGAATCAGGATGCCCTTAAAATTCATGTGTGTGTAAAGGCAGGAGTCCAAATACTTTTGGCAATATAGTGTATATTAAAGTATTATTTGTATCAATTTTTAATTCATGGAAAATCATGAGAATCATTCAGCAATATTGATGAAGGACATGACTACTATAAATTATAAAAAGAGCCCTACCTATATTCTAAAGTCTTCAGTGTAGTAATCGCATGTGTATTAACCACAGAGTCACTTGGAAGTGTCATAGCCGTGACCACAGGACTTGTATTTTCTTCACTCTTTAACGCTTATATAAAAAAAAAAAAAAAAAGACGTTTTTTAATTTACTTTTTTTACTCCTAGTACAAAAATACAGTAACAACACTAAAATCACCACTGGATTCTACAGGCAGATTGGAATCTACAAAATTCCTACTGAATGTAAAAATGTGTAAATTTACCAACTTACATAGATGTAAAATTCAATGTGATTGAGAAACAACAAATAAATTCAGATATGCAAACCTGTAAAAGGACACAAAATGTATTTTATCATTTGACTAATTTCTGATTTCACAGATAACTTTCTTGCCACCAGGTTCCTTATCTGAGCTTGATCTGTATTTTCTCACCAGCTTGATTCATCTAGATCTTAGGCATACAGCGGCAAAGGCAACTCGATTTGACAAACAACTACAACTTTATGTGACAATTTTACATATAAAGTTGACATAAAAATTAAAAAACTGCAGAGTGACCACTGGCTGAGGGAATTGGGGGCATGCAGAGTTTTGGATTCTAGTGTTCTTTTTTTAATCAGTTGGCGGATTAATCTTGAATCTCAGGAGGGCTAAACGAGGAGCTCGAAATACATATCATTCTATCTCTGGGTCCCTGGTGTGTCTTTCATTTTAATATATTCATTTCCTAACGTCATTACAGCATTTTTTAACAGGAGAGAGTAAGATTATGCAGTATCAGTAATACAATATGTGGGGTTTTACTATTTTTAATTTTTTATTTTATTATAAAGGTCAATATTTAACCATTAGCCGCCCGGCCAATGGCCATTTGGCAGCTTCAAAAGTGCTTCGGCATTCCGGGTGCATGCTATTTGGAGTGCTGCCGCACATGCACAGTTTGCGCTAATGCAGAGCCGCGCAGCGGCGCGATCTGTCACCGGCCGTGTCCGAGGTACAGATCTGAGTACCGGCCCCCGTTGCTGGTACCATGTGACCTGCTGTGACCAATCACAGCAGGTCACATGACAGTTCTATACAATGAATGGCTTCATTCATGCCATCCATTGTATACTAGTGCCTAGCTGTGAATGGTCACAGCTAATCACATGCACATGTCATGTGATTAGCTGTGACCAAATCACAGCTAAGCACAAAAAAAAAAAAAACAAAAACAGAATGAATCGATTTCATTCAGGTAAATGCTTCCTTATAGCAAAGTAATTCTTTGCTATAAGCAAATTGTGTAAAAAAAAAAAAAAAAAAAAAAATACTGATCACTTCCCCAAAGTAGTACAATGTTACTATGGTAACATTGTACTACTTTGGTCATAGTAAAATATGAAAGCAAATCTTAAAAAATGTTTTTAAAAAATGTAATAAAAAATTAAAAATACAAAAATTTAAAAAAATATATATAATTTTTTTTTTTCCAATACTGTCACCAGTCAGTGTCCCTGTTCACTGCCATGCCAGTTATATGATGACGCTGTACTGCACTGGTGACAGTATGTAAAAAAAAAAAAAAAAAATAGTGAAAATAATTTTTTTAATTTTTTTCATTTTCTGAAACATTATGACAAAAAAAATATAACTTCAAAAAACTCGCCATGCCTCTTATGAAGTACGTCGGATTGTCTACTTTGCAAAAAGGGGTCATTTGGGGGATATCTGTACTATTCTGACATTCTTGGACCTCAAGAAATTAGATTGGCCGTCAGTACTTCAGGATTGATCAATATTCAGATATATCCCATAGTTTGTGAACTCTATAACTTTCCTACAAACTAAATAATACATCCTAATTTGGGTTATTTTCACCAAAGACATGTAGCAGAATACATCTCGGCCTAAATTTATGAAGAACAATTATTTATTTGTAAACTTTTATAACAGAAACAAGGAAAAACTTTTTTTTTTTTTTTTAATTTTCAGTCTTTTTTTGTTAATTTAGCAAAAAATAAAAACCCCAGCGGTGATTAAATACCACCAAAAGAAAGCTCTAGTTGTGTGAAGAAAATGATAAAATTTTAGTTTGGGTACAATGTTGTATGACTGCGCAATTGTGAGTGTGAGAGCGCTGAAACGTGAAAAATGGCCTGGGCAGGAAGGTGTAAAATTGCACGGTATTGAAATGGTTAAAAAAAAATAAATAAAAAAATTACTTTATGTTTTACCTATTTTTCAGTCTTGATGCAGGAATCAATATAATTACCAAACAGTGGCTGTTGTTACAAGGTGCCACAGCAGTGTCCTTTTTGGAAGTATGTATTTGCATGCTATTTATTTATAACTTACCATTTAGATTGTGATACAGATAGAGTGTTGGCATACAGAGCTGGCTTGGTGGCGGCCATTAGTATTTTTTTTTTATTATTATTATTCTTTCCCCCTCCCCATTTCACTTTATCCTCTTTTAGAATAAATATTTGGAATTTTTTAATCGGCTTTCTCAGTAGCCCTATTAGTCTGTCAAAGTTCTCTTTAGAGACATTTAAATAACCACATGCCCCAGAAGATTTACCCCCTTCATGACCAGTTACTTTAACTGACAATTGTGTGGTCATGCAAATTAAATTTAAGTCATTTTTTCCCCACAAATAGAGCTTTCTTTTTAATGGTATTTGATCACCTCTGCATTTTTTTTATTTTTTGCGCTATAAACAAATAAAAAAAAAACTGACAATTTAAAAAATAAAAACAATATTTTTGACTCTTTGCTATTAAACATATCCAATAAAAAAATAAAAAATAAAATTTCTTCATAAATTTAGACCAAAATGTATTCTTCTACATGTCTTTGGTAAAAAAAAGAAATCCCAATAAGTGTATATTTACTGGTTTACATGAAAGTTACAGCGTCTACAAATGACGGCATATGTACTGGAATTTTTATTTACCATATTTATTTTTACTAGTAATGATGGCGATCAGCGACTTAAAGTGGGACTGTGGTGGGCATTCTGACACTGCCACTGGGTGGGAACTAACTGCCACCGACATCTCCAGTGACACCAATACAGTGATCTGTGCTAATAAATAGCACTGACACTGTACTAATGACACTAAGCATGAAGGGGTCAACATCTGGGGACGATCAAAAGGTTAAAAAAACATTAATCAAGGGGTTAATATGTATCTAACTATGGTGTGGGTGAAAATGTGCTGCTTTTACTCACATGTGGTGTGTCCAGGGGCGGACTGACAACTCATGGGGCCCCCGGGCAATAGGGGATCATGGGGCCCCTGTGTCCTTGCCCAAACTCAAAAAAGCCTATGAAAAAGGTACCAGGGGCATCTCATGGGGCCCCTTACTGACCCCGGGCCCTCGGGCAGTGCCAGAGTTTCCAAATGGCCAGTCCGCCCCTGGGTGTGTCTTTCCTCTCTCCCTGGAACAAAAAGGTTCCAGGGAGAGAAGATCCAGCTAGATCCTGGGTCTGTATTTACAAATACAAGCACAGATCTGCTTCTCCATTTGCTGCAGATCATCAGCAGAGTCCCGGCCAAAAAACATTGGCCAGGACCTGCTGGCAAACATGTCCTGTAGCAAATGACAGCAGGGGTTAGCGTGGGGCGCTCCAAACCCGGAAAAACACAGTGAAATATGGGTACATCGCTGGTCCTGTAGCTGCCACCCATCCGCAGTACATTTCGGGCGGTCTTTAAGTGGTTAATTGATTGCAGCTGTCGTTTGCTTCTCTCTCCTTTGCCCGCCTGCTTTAAAGCTGAGCTTGTTTTTTGCAGGTAACGTGACAAAGGGGCAGGACACTGAAACGCGTTAGTCACTCTCCAATCTCCCAGCACCTTCGGATCCACACTGAGCCTGGGTCCACACATATGCGGTGCGGTATATCACATGTGATTCACATAGGAACCGAACCGCATTCCTGTGCAAATCACACGTGATTTGTGTGCGGTGCAATTGGAGCCATACATTTTGTATGGCTCTAATCGCACCACACCAAAAAGGTGCAGGACCCTTTTTTGGGTCCGCATTAGAATCGGATTGCATGGGTATTCACACCTAAGTGATCCGATTCTGCACATCGCACCGTGTTTTGCAGACTGCTTTCGGGGTGGTGTTAACTTAACATACACACCCCCTCAGCAGTTTGCATGAACGGGGTGCGATTCTTATGCGGTGCGGAATTCGCACAGAAAACGCTGTGAATTCCGCACCGCATCAGTATTAACCAGGGCTGAAGATTTAGGAGTGTTTATGTCCTGTACACAGGTTTTGCAGCTGCAAAAAGTTACACTCCGGGCGGACCAGGCTCCCACCTTCCAGCTCTGTGTGTCCCTGACTCTTGCTATTAAATATCCATTTCCTTTGTCCAAATTGTTTACCGCAGACTATCATGTAAGTTACTTCATTTTATCTCAATTAAATCATTGCTACAATTACGGATTCAGCGCTCTGGTGGCTTCTTTGTTTACCAAATATTGATTGAATGAATTTCTCTTCTGTTCATTAACTTTTCATTTTGTTAAAATGTTTCTAAAGGCTCAAGATTTTTTACTTTCATGCATCCACCCCCAGCCCTCCTAACACTCACCTAAGCCCCCTCTCGATCCAGCGTTGTGCACTGGATTGTCAGCTATCCTGGGACTTCCTCTTCTCATTGGCTGAGACAGAAGTGGGAGCCATTGGCATCCACTGCTGTCAGTCACAGCCAGTGAGCCAATGAGAAGAGAAAGGGGGTGGGAACGAGTCGCGGCCCTGTGTTTGAATGGACACACGGAGCAGCGGGTACCCCCATAGCAAGCTGCTTGCTGTGGGGGCACCCGACAGGAGGAAGGGACCAGGAGAGCATGCGGGGGACCCGAGAAGAGGGGGATCTGGGTTGCTCTGTGCAAAACCACTGCACACGGCAGGTAAGTATAGACATGATTATTATTTTTTCTTAAAAAAAAAAAAGAAAAAATAATAAGCCTTTAGAATCACTTTAATTGATAAAAATAAAGTATGAACACTTCTATTTCAGAAATCATTCTTCATTTACAGCTTTTTTCTACAAATGCCTATAACTTCTGCATAGAACTGTATACAGAATGTACTCAGTTTATTAAAAACAAAGCTATGCACGGCTCCTGGCTCTGTGCTGCACTCTACTCTACTTCCACTACATCACTGGAGGAGAAACTGGAGCCTGAGCTATAGGCTGAGAACACAGCTAACCAAGTTCCAGCTCCCTAGGGAGACAATGCTGCTCCTGCAGAGGCACAGACTATGGCAGCGTTATCACCCTAGGACACGAAGTCCCTACTAGCAGGAGCTGCAGGTCAAAATAGAAGAAATTAAAGCCTCAAGATAGAAAGGTAAATCCTTGAAAGCTATCATCACTTTTTTGAAAAGGGGAAGCAGGAAGATTTTTTTTTTTTTTTTTTAAACAATAACCTCAGAGCCCAGATGTGATGCGTCAACTGAAGAGTGGAAATAACTTACCTGAAACTTGTATTCTGTCTCTTAAATACTTCAGTAGTTCCTGAGTGCCTTTCTAAAGGGACAAGAAAAAAAAAAATGTATACGTATATAAATATATATATATATATATATATATATATATATATTATATATATATATATATATATATATATATACACACACACACACACACATACATACATTATATATATATATATATATATATATATATATATATATACACACACACACACATACATTATATATATATATATATATATATATACACACACACACACACACATATACACACACACGTATTAGTTAAACTTCTAATTTCCAGCCACAAAAATCATTAAAGTGAGGCCAACATTTATATATATAAAAATGACAGTACACAAATATGCGGACTCTTGGCAGGAGGTCCTTGATAACGAGATGCTGCAAATTTGCATACCTAAATAGATCTGTGCTGACAGCATGCGCCACCAGCACGGTTACCAGCGCCGAATGGAAAGCTCCTGATTGCTACTTGCGATCAGGAGCTTTTCGATCATGTGACCACTGTGACAGCCCCCTGTAAAATACCCAAATATGTTAGTTTTTTTTTTTTTATTATTTGTAAGAGAGACAGATTCCAGTCTGTTTCAGTGGTGAATGGGCAAAGCACAAGTTCACTTTAAAGGGTAAGTTCACCTTTTTTTTTCCATGAAAAATTAAAACGTGAACTAATTTCAAATATCCTGGCTACCCCTCCAGCACAAAGCGGCGATGCCCCATGCTGCTGGTGTAGTGGTCCGTGCACCATACGCTGCAATACACAACCCTGTAGTGAGTATATACCATAATGTTCGCAATGGCAAGAGCTCATTCGTCAGCATAGATTCGTGACTGTGTAGTCCAATGAGTAGCACATCTAAGACTTTTTCTTCTTCAGGTAAGGTGATCCAAGGTGTTTTCTCATTGATCATGTGGTCACTCTGACCAATGAGCGCTTACCACCCCAAACATTATGATGCATACTTACTCCGGAGCGGTGTATTGTAGTGTGTGCGGATTGCTGCACCAGCACCACGGGGCATCTATGTGCAATGAGGTACAGAGGAGTGGTCAAGATATTTAAAGCTTGCTCACCTTTTCATTTTTTGTGAAAAGGTGAACCTACCCTTTAAGCAGTAAGACCCTAGCTGGCGAATTGTGCCAAATACTCACACTCAGTATGTCCCTACGAATCCCCCTCAGTGGATTACCCTCCAGCTGTAAGGATTTCAAATTCGGAAGATTTCCCAGGGCACCGGGCAAACTGAAAACATAAAAATAAAATACTTTATCTAGATAAAGCCAAACATACAGGATATCTCCAGTGTTAGCTATAAGAGGGGTTCTATAGGGGGCAGGGGCGGACTGACCATTTATCCACTCGGGCACTGCTCGAGGGCCCGGGGTCAGTAGGGGGTCGCATGAGATGCCCCTAGTACCTTTCATAGGCGTTTATGGGTGTTGTTTGAGTGTGGGCAAGGACACAGGGGCCCCATGATTTCCTATTGAGCAGGTGCCCCTTGAGTTGTCAGTCCACCCCTGATAGGGAGTGTTTAGGAGTAACAATACCATAAAGATCTAATTCTATAGGGCACAAAAGCACAATGACTGCTTTTGAGCAATTGCATACCCCTGCCATTTGCTGGCCCCAAATAGGTACTTCTGTGCCTACCTAGTGCACTAGGTGGCTGCAAAGAAAAAAAAAAAGAAGAAGCTGTTTGCCATTTATAACAGTGAAGCTGTAGCGAAGCTGCATTAAAGGCATAATTGTGCCTGGAATAGGTCTTACCTGCCAAGGTCATTATTGCTGAGATCCAGCCTCTCCAGTCCCTTCAGCAGGATTATCTCATCTGGTAGGCTCTTCAGCTTGTTATCCCGCAGCTCGAGAATACAGAGGGAAGTGAGGTGTGTCAGGTGCTGGGGGCCCACTGTACTTATCTGGTTGTTCCCAACATGCAGCTCCTGTTAAAGGATCAGAGGCCAACATTTATATATAAAAATGTACTGTATATAGAAAAAGACAAGCGGGTAGTTATGGTGTGAAAATACTCAACACTAACACATGAATAATAGCACTTCAATTATTATTTTTGACATAAAAAAAGGTTTGCAAATTCTCCTTGTCAAAGCGGAACAATAAGATGTACCTACTAGCCTGCTCGCTGTATTTTCCAGCATGTAAACTGACCTGCGCATGCACAGCTCAGCTGACACCACCAGCCCAGAATCTGTGTTTCGGGATGACTGACTCCTGCGCATGCTCAGGAGGCAACATTACCACTACCTTCAGAGAAAACCATGCACAAGCTAATCTACCTGTCCCACGGGTCCTAATGCATTTCACTCCATCCGGAGCTTATTCACAAATTCTACGAAAAAGCTCTGAATGGAGCGAAATGGGTTACAGTTCATGGGGCAGGTGAAAGAGCTTGTGCATAGAATTATTCAGGAAACTCACAAGGATTTTACTGGAGAGTGGTTTCCCTTACCTTGTTGCTTGAGAGTGGACTTTAAGGAGCGGACAGCGACTACTGGAGCCCTGCACCCGTTGTCAGAGAAGTGAGAGGGAGGTATGCCTGTGGTGTGGCTGAATACTTTTTTAGTGCCCAGACTTTAACCCCTTGCTTACCAGGCACTTTCACCCCCTTCCTGCCCAGGCCAATTTTCAGTTTTTGGCGCCGTCGAATTTTGAATAACTATTGTGCGGTCATGCAACATAGTACCCATATGAAAGTTTTTATAATTTTTTTGACACAGAGCTTTCTTTTGGTGGTATTTAATCGCCACTGGGTTTTTTTTTCATTTTTTTGCTAAACAAACAAAAAAACACTGCAATTTTGGGGGAATAAAGTTTTCTTAGTTTATTTTTTAAATAAGTAATTTTTCTCCTTCACTGATGTGTGCTAATGAGGCTGCACTGATAGGGGGAACTGATAAGACAGCACTGACAGGCATCATTGATGGGTACGGATAAAAGGCACTGATGGGTACTAATAGACTGTACTGATAGGCATCACTGATGGGCACTGACAGGCATCACTGATAAGCATCAATGATGGGCACTGACAGGCATCACTTATGGGCACTGACAGGCATCACTTATGGGCACTGATGGGGCTGCACTGAATCAGTACCCTGATTATCAGTGTAGATGTCTCCTCTGAAGATTGCCACTTATCGGCTCTCCTCACACGCTGTCAGTATTTCCTGCTTGCATGTGATTAGCTCTCTACAGCAACATGTGCCCTCAGGGGCATGCATGAGCGGCTAGAGTGGGAGGACATATGAAATCCTCCCAGAACAAGAGCTCCCACCTATCCATCAAATTTATCAATACGGCGGGTGGGAGGCGGTTAAAGTGGAAGTAAAGGCAAAAGCTAACTAATAATCGTAAACCTACTCTCAGCCACATTCTAAGCCTTGTCTATCTAGCCCTGTAAAGAATAACAATCTCTATACTTTCCTGTTTTGCAGCCACTCCGGTGCCACGCTGAGATGTCAGAGTACAGATATGTGTAAGAGAGGCAGCCGACAACTGCTGCCCTAGTAAGTGACGTCACTTTCCAGGCATTTCCTAGCCGTTGTCGGCTGCCTCCTGCACATAGAGGGCGCCACTGGAGACCGGAGCAGCTGCAGAACAGGTAAGCACAGCGATTTTTTTCTTTACAGGGCTAGATAGATTAGGCTTGGAATGAGGCTGACAGTAGGTTTAGTTAGTTAGGACATTTAGCCCATGAACCCTGAAGGCAGAAGGCTCCTTGGTTGGTTGGGAAGAAATATAATTCATACAAGCATTACACACTTTATTCCAGAGACCCAAGAAATGTAAGCTCCTCTGGGGCAGGGATTGGAGTGAATGGTTACATGTTCTTCACAACATGGCGGCTCTATATAACTACAGGAAATAATCACATTATAAGACCTTACCTTGAGCAGCTTGCAGTCGGGCAGCTCTGGCAGGAAGGTCAGTTTGTTCTGCCTCAGATACAGCTGCTCCAGACAGTCCATACCGGCCAGGGAAGGAGGGATGTCTTCCAGCAGGTTGGAGGTGCAGTCCAGCTGACGAGACCTGCAGGAGTCAAGCAGAAAATGTATAAACTATATAGCCCAAGTTAGTAATCAGCTGACTATTAGACCTACCTATATCGCCAAAGTACATGTAGACGTCTTTAAGGGATTGAGGTCAGGTGGTTCCAATGAAGGGTATTATTACCGCAGCAAACAAAGATATTTTAGACAACTCTGTGCTTCCACCCTTGTGGTAACACATTGGTGAAGGTCCTTTTCTGTTCCAATATGACTGTGTCCCTGTGCACACAGCCAGCTCCTTAACCGCTTACCCGCTGCTGTATAGCAGATATACTGCTACACGGCAGCACGGGTGCGCAAAATCACATATATATATATATCTATCTATCTATATCTCTATATATATATATCTCTCTCTCTCTCTCTATATCTCTCTCTATATATATATATATATATCTATATATCTCTATATCTATCTATATATCATATATATATATATATCTATATCTATATCTATCTATATATATCTATCTATCTATCTATATATTTGTATGTATGTATTTTTGCAATTCTGGGTATGGGGCGCACGCGAGCCGTGAGCGCCCTGCCCCGCGCTGTCATTCACAGACACGGATGTCAATCACCGGGTCCCAGCCGGTGATTACCCACCGGCCAATGGTGATTACCAACAATCACCAATATGTTTTGTTTACAAACAGTCTTCCTCTCTGTCAGTTCGGGCACACTGCTTGGGATGACTGTGCTCAGCACAGCCATTCCGATAAGTGTGCTTACAGTTAAGCACACAGACACCACCCCCTAGTAAAACACTTCCTACACACAGTTAACCCTTTGATCGCCCCTCACATTAACCCCTTCCTGCCCAGTGTCATTAGTACAGTGTCAGTTCTGTTTTTTTTAGCACTGATCACTATATTAGTGTCACTGGGGATGTCAGTGACCCCAAGTTAGTCCCCCCCCCCCCGTGTCAGAATGCCCGCCACTCCGCAGTCCTGCTAAAAGTCGCTGATCGCCGCCATTACTAGTAGGACTATTTTGGCCTAAATTTATCACAAAATTAGATTTTTTGGATTTTTTTACTGGACATGTTTAATAGCAAAAAGTCCAAAATATATTTTTTTTTCTCAAAATTGTCAGTCTTTTTTTGCTTATAGCGCAAAAAATAAAAAAAGCACAGGTGATCAAATACCATTGAAAGAAAGCTCAATTCGTGGGAAAAAAAAAAAAAGGACGTAAATTTCATCTGGGTGTGACGTTGCATGACCGCGCAATTGTCAGTTAAAGTAATGCAGCACCGTATCGCAAAAAATGTCAGGAAGGAGGGTAAACCCTCTGGAGGGTAAGGGGTTAAAGGCTTAATTTGATGAGGAGTGACCTCAACCCTACTGAACACCTCTAGGATGAATTGCAATGTGAGTCAGGTCTTCTCATCCAACATCAGTACCTGACCTCACATATGAATAAGCCCAGATGTCCCCAGACTCACTCCAACATCTTGTGGAAAAATGTCTCAGAAAAGTTGAAGCTGCTATTGCCACAAAGAGGGCCAACTCCATATGACTGTCTATTGGTTTGGAAAGGGATGTCCAACAAGGTGTGATGGTCACAAAGCTTTAGGAATGTACAGTTGTTTCTGCCAGCATTGTATTTACATTCCTCTGGCTAGTGAGTGGGATGCTTCAGGGACTCACCAGAGGATGCTTAAAGCAGAGCTCCTCAGTCAAACCTAAAAAAAATAAAAGTCAGAAGCTGGAAAAACTGTAGCTGCCGACTTTTAAAAAAAACAGCAGCTCACCCGTCCAACGATCCAGCAGTGTACTCGCCACAGCCGGTTTCACCAGCCATCCTCACTCCCCGGCACCGGCATCCTAAGTGTGGGCACCCAGCTGCTACAGCTTGTGGCTTCACAGCCAAGTGCCCACAGCACATGCGGGAGTAGTGTGCCTTGTGAATGGTCCCCTAGTCTTCTGGGACCTGTCACATGTTCCAGAACACTACGGGGAGGGAGAGAAAAACTTCTGCTTCCGATCACCTAGGCGGTCGCATTGGAAGTGGGAGTGCGTATCTGTCAAAATTTGGTACCTGATCCCTCATGGGATCAAAGCTGAACTTCCCCTTTTTGTTGGAGCTTCACTTTAACCACTTGAGCTCCAGAGGATTTACCCCCCTAATGACCAGGCCTCTTTTTTGCTACTCGGCGCTGCACTAATTCAACTGATAATTGCGCGGTCATGCAATGCTGCACCCAAACGAAATTTACGTCCTTTTTTTCACACAAATAGAGCTTTCTTTCGGTGGTATTTGATCATATGTGCGCTTTTTATTTTTCACGCTATAAACAAAAAAAGCCAAAAATTTTGAAGAAAAACAATATTTTTTACTTTCAGCTATAAAAAATATATAGTAAACTCAAAGCTAGTTATAAATTTAGGCCAAAATGTATTCTGCTCCATGTTTTTGGTAAAAAAAAATCCCAATGAGTGTATATTGATTGCTTTGTGTGGAAGTTATAGCGTCTACAAACAATGGTATAAATACTGCAATTTACGCCATTTTGCTGCTATACAGTGCTGCGCTAGTTTAACGGACAATTGCGCGGTCATGCAATATGGTACATAATTTACATCCTTTTTTTCCCCACAAATTGAGCTTTCTTTTGGTGGTATTTGATCGCCTGTGCGGTTTTTATTTTTTGCGCTATAAAAAAAAAAGGCTGACAATTTTGAGCAAAAAAAAACAATATTTTGGACTTTTTGCTATAAAACATGTCCAGTAAAAAAAAAATGCAAAAATCAAATTTAGTCATAAATTTCTACCAAAATGCATTCTGCGACATGTCTTTGCTAAACAAAAAAAAAACCAATACGTGTAAATTAATTGGTTTACGTGAAAAGTTATAGCATTTACAAATGGTGGGAAAGATACTGGGATTTTTAGGTTTTTTTTATACTAATAATGGCAGCGATCAGCGAATTATGGCAGCGACCAGCGACTTATGGCAGGACTGCGGCGGACATTCTGACATTGGGGGGTACTGACTTGGGGTCACTGACATCCCCAAAAACACTAATATAGTGATCAGTGCAAAAAAAAAAAACACTGACACTGTACTAATGGCACTGGGGAGGAAGGGGTTAACTTTATTTTGCAGGGAAGGGTTATCTGTGTGAGGGGAGTGTTTTACTAGGGGGCGGGGGTGTGTGCTGCACGGGACACCGCTGATCGAGAGAGAGAAACTCTTCTTTCTCGATCAGCTCGTCCTTGAGCTGTCAGGGAAGTGACAGAAAGCACAGCTACTGCAGCTGTGCTGTCTGTCACTGTTTGCCACCGATCGCCGGAAAACAGTCGGTAAGGACTGGCTGTGATCCGGCGACTGACATCCGCGGCGGTGATCGGCGGGACAGATAGGGCGGCGGCGCGCCTCACACGCCCCCTATCTGTTTACAAAACACACATTTTAAAACGTGGTTTTGCCTGCCCGTGCCGCCCTGCCGCCGTATTTCTACAGTGGCAGGGCGGCAAGTGGTTAATATAAAATGGGCTAGTCACAGTGGGGGTCATTGATTAGTACTGCCTTGAAACATTGAGGTTCTCAGTTCCAATCCCAGCCACGACACTATCTGCATTCAGTTTGCATGTTCTGTCTGTGCTGGCATTGGCTTCCTCCAGGGTCTCCAGCTTCTTCCCAAACTCCAAAGACGTGCTCATAGATTAAGTGGATCCTGTCTAAACGGACCCTAGTATGTGTGTGCATATGTATAGGGGGCCCTTAGCCTGCAAGGGAGAGAGGGCATGCAAAGTCAATGTGTGTGTGCTAGTGGTAGCCAAGGGTGGAATCCAGAACCAGTCTACTGTCTCCTAAGAGCTGCCAAAGGAGGCATCAAAAGCAATTCTCATGTCAAAAGAGCACCCAATGGTGGGTGTGGAGAAGGAAGGGAATTGAAAACACAGCACTAGTTTTTCTAATCTGTCTACCCTGGTTTACTTACCCCTTTCAGCATCCTTCAACTCTAATGAGCAATATCACCCCCCACCATCTCCATGGTTAACTTCTTCCCCCTTCCTCCTCTTTCCTTACCCCGCATTCCTGTTTTCCTTAAGCAGCCTCTGGATCCCCCCCCCCCTCCTATCCTTGGTATAGGAAAACATCTGTAAAAGGTAATTGGTCTTCTCCACATTTTTTTTTTAACTGCCTTCCGCCCGCCATATACGGTAATGTGGGTGCAAGGCGGTTCTCTCGTTCTGGGAGGACGTCATACGACGTCCTCCCACTCTAACCGTGTGTGCATGGCTCCGGGGGCACGGACACAGCAGATCACTGATCAACGGAAAGAGCCAAAGACTTCGGCTCAGTCATGTGATCAGCTGTGTCCAATGACAGCTGATCGCATGTAAATAAGGAAATTCCGGTTATCGGCATTTCTCTCCTCACGAGCTGTCACACTGACAGTGGAGAGGAGAGCCAGTAATCAGCATTCCTCAGAGGGGGCATCTATACTGATGATCAGTGTTCTCCGATGATCAATGTAGCCCCATCAGTGCCATCTGTCAGAGTCCTTCAATGCCTGTTGTCAGTGCTGATCATTGCCACCTGCCAGTGCCCATCAGTGCCACATCAATGCCATATAGTGTCCATCTGAGCTGCCTTTCAGTGCCACCTATCAGTACCAGTCAGTGCCGCCTATCAATGGTGCCAGTCAGTGCTGCCTATCAGTGCCCGTCTGATATCATCCTGTGTGCCCAGTGAGTGTTATGCGATTAAAAAACAACATCTATATCTATATAGGAAAATAAAAGAGTCCATCTTACTCTTCATGTGGCTGATCTCCGGAGGAAGGACCTTCAGCTTGTTGTTGGATAAGTTCAGCCGGGTGAGGTAGGTGAGGGCCCCAAGACAGCTCGAAAGGCTCCTCAGACTGTTATTGGAGAAGTCCTGCAATATTATCGCCGTGTTAAAGGAAACTATAGTACATTTCTAGTAAGTGCTTATCTGTGCATGAAAGGTACGTTGGAGGCGACTTTCATTTTTTTTTTTTGTTCTATATTTTAGGATTGCTTTTACATGTACACAATTGAAGATTATCCCTCTAGCCCAGGGGTGTCAAACTTGCAGCCCTCCATCTGTTGAAGAACTACAAGTCCCATTGTGCCTCTGCCTGTGGGAGTCATGTTTGTAACTGCCAGCCTTGCAACGCCTCATGGGACTGGTAGTTCCACAACAGCGGGTGGCTCAGTATCAGGCAGTGTAGTCAATGTACCCGTAGAACTGCTGAGATTACAATGCAGGCAGAGTCACACTTAATGGATCCAATTCTCCAATTTGATGCACCCCACAATTCAGGTGGGGAGAGGGGAGGTCAGATTGGGGTTAGTGTAGGCAATCATGCTTCATGTTAGAACCCAAATATGGTTGTAATATGAAACAGACTTAAAGGTGGTTTGTGCTTTTAAAAGAGAAGTATGGCCAAAGCTCTTTTAAGCATACTTCTCCTGTGGGTCCTGTAGTTCTGCGCTCCTGTGATTCAGACTCAGCTGACAGTGGGCTAAATCCCACTGTTGGCTGACGTCACAGAACCAATACAGGCTCTGCAGAGATCCTGACAATAATGTCGGGATCTGCCTAGATGCCTGACCAGCAGCTGGCTCAGCCTTTCAGCACACCACTATAAGCCAACCATGGGAACACTGATACAGCCTTCTAGGTGAGAATGTACAGTATGTTTATGGGTTTTTTTTTTCCCCCACACTCCAGGCAAAAAACAATTCTCAAGCATTGGAGCTGTACCCGCCCCACACAAGGTAAAAAAGAAGTATGGGATTTAGTTTAAAAATAAAAAATATGAATATCATACTCACCTAGGTGGGTGCAGCATCGCTTCGAAGCTGCATCTGTCCCCTGCCGGCTCTAGGGGTGAGAACTCAGCGATCACGTGATCGCTGAGTTCTCACAGCCTACTATGAGCAGAGAAACTCTGCTCTGTTCCCCCAGGCTCAGTGAAGGGCTGGGCTGTAGACAGGTAGGGATCGGTTGGCTCAGGCTCTAAGGGGATTGCTGAGAGGCTGAGCTAGGTGCTGCTCCAGACTCTGGGGTGGACCCCAACTTTAAAGTCAGCATCTTTCCCCAGCATGGACTGGCTGAGTGAAATCAGCCGACTGAGAAAAAGAGCTTTAGCTGTACTTCTCCTTTAACTGCTTGTCTTTTTCTAGGGGATAGGAGAGCGTAGATATACTCACCTTATCCTCTGATCCTCCCAGCACAAGAACAGTCTGACACCCCCATGCTCCATTGGTCTTGCATAGCAGACCAATCCTGACGTCATCATGCCCACAGCAGGCTCCATAGACCAGGAACAGTCCACTGATGGACCGTGGGAAAGCGCCGTTTTCCAGAAGATCGAAGGACCGGGTGAGTATAAGCTTTTTGCTCACCCCTATACAAAACAAGCAGTTGACCCGTGCAGTGCAGGCACAGCCCCATTGCATGGGAAGAACATTTTTTGGCAGAGTTGGGCTTTACCGGACCATCTTTCCATCATTATAAATAGCTTACCAATTCCTCCAGAGCGGTCAGCTGACCCATGGAGTTAGGGACCTCCTCTAACTGGTTGTGATGAAGAAGAAGACTCTTGAGGTTCTGTAGCTGGGCCAGCTCTTCTGGAAGACTCTTCAACTTATTGTGACTTTGTTAGAAAGAAATACAGACAAGCCAGATTTAAAATAAAGAAAAAAATTTCAAATCTTATTAAAAACCTGAAAGACTAACTTTTGTGCTCTCCCCCCCAATTTGTGTTTATGCTTACCTTTTATAACGTGTTCAGGTCAGTCACATGACCCTACGAGGTCCTCTTTATGTTTGACTCAGGGCTGGGCAATCCTCTCTGATCTAGACAGCGGTGCTGACGCGATGACGTCTCGGTGTATTTGCATTTTGTTTATTTTTGCACAATAGAGTTTGTCCCTGGGTGGTCCCACCCCTTACATATTTAAGAACTGTCAAACCAACGGAGCAGGCAGATCATCGGGAACGGGATTTTTTTTTTTCGGGTCAGCGGCGGACATCGTGATTGAAGTTGGATCTACTGCGGGGGACATTCTGTTATTAAAGGACTTGTCAAAGACCGTGTCCTGTCTTTTTTCGCACTACACTTTTTGTTTTTTGTGAATGGGCAGAGCTATCATGTACCCCATACTCATTCACATGGGGAGGGGGGGGCAGGATCTGGGGGCACCCTTGTTAAAGGGTGCTTCCAGATTCTGATAAGCCCCCTGCCTGCAGACCCTCACAAACACCGGCCAGGGTTGTGGGGAAGAGACCCTTCTCCCCATCAACATGGGAACCAGGTGCATGCCCCAAAACACCCCTCCATGTTGAAGGCATGTGGCTTGGTATGGCTCAGAAGGTGGGGGGCCCTCGCTCGTGTCCCCCCCCCCCTTTCCTGACCTGACGGGCTGCGTTCTCCTATAAGTGTCTGGTATGGATTTTGGGGGGGGGGGGGACCCCACGCCGTGTTTTTTATTTATTATGGTGCTGGTTTTTAAATGTAATTACAGCTTTTTTTTTTTCTTCACTACAACTCAGCTGTCACTTTCCCCCCCAGGTAACAGAGTGAAAGTTTTCTTTTAGTTTATTTTCCCCAAGTTAAGAGAAACAATGTTTCCTTTTATTGTCTTAAAAGAAACAAAGTTTCCTGTAACTCCGGGGAAAGTGACAGCTAGTCTTGTAAACGATAGTAAAGAAAAAACAAAAAGCCGGCAATTGCATTTAAAAATCGGCACCAACATACACTTCGTATTGCGGAAAGAATTAGTGAAAAATTAGCAAACCGAGGCATTATTTTCAATAGATTTTCATTCGTAAGCCGAAAATTATGTTAACCAAGGCATTCATAAACCGAGGTACCACTGTATGTATGAGATCAGGGGTGGACTGACAACTCATGGGGCCCCCGGGCAATAAGGGATCATGGGGCCCCTGTGTCCTTGCCCAAACTCAAAAAAGCCTATTAAAAAGGTACCAGGGGCATCTCATGGGGCCCCCTACTGACCCCGGGCCCTGGGGCAGTGCCCGACTTTCCAAATGGTCAGTCCGCCCCTGTATGAGATATATATATATATATTACAGATTTAAGCGGAGAGCAACATTTAATAAGAGCAGAACAGGGGCGGACTGACCATTTGGAAACTCGGGCACTGCCCCAGGGCCCGGGGTCAGTAGGGGGCCCCATGAGATGCCCCTGGTACTTTTTTCATAGGCTTTTTTGAGTTTGGGCAAGGACACAGGGGCCCCATGATCCCCTATTGCCTGGGGGCCCCATGAGTTGTCAGTCCGCCCCTGGAGCAGAATTACAAAGTAGGCCATACCTTATATTCAGCCTTTGAAGATTCACCAGCTCCCCGATCTCTCTGGGAAGTTCCGGCAGCAGATTGTCATGAACCTAGAAACACAAAAATCTTCAGAAAATGACTTTTCTCCGATATCTGTTCCATCCCCTCCCTCCTAGATTGTAAGCTCGAAAGAGCAGGGCCCTCGATCCCCTCATGTTTTGCATTGTATTGGTATTGTTCTGTCACATGTTCTGTCCCCCTTTGTAATGTACAGCGCTGAGCGAACTATTGGCGCTTTATAAATACTGTATAATAATAATAATAAATAACAACCATAACCGGATGCTGTTTGACTTGTTATTGCCAAAGTTTCCGAAGCCCAGATTGGGCGACAGTAGGGAGAGTGAGGGGGACGGTAGGATTCTTGTTAAAGCCTTAATGGATATTTCGGCCAAGCTGGCCGAAATAAATAATTTGCTGCACTAACAGGTGACCTTCCTGGATGCTCTGTATGACTTGTATGTAGCCTCAGCTACATATAAGGGTTGATTTACTAAATTCCAATAGACTGTAACCTCTGCAAGGGCATTTGCTCGAAAACTTTGTAGAGATGAAGCTCTGCTAACTTCCATCATCCAATCATGTGCAAGCAAAAATGCTGTTTTTTTTTATTTTCCTTGCATGTGATTGGGTGTTCTTTGCAAAGTGAAGCTTCAACTCATTGACTAAATTCTGGAGCAAATGCCCTTGCAGACTGCAACAGAACTTACAAAGTGCACAGACTATTTGCCTTTAATTAACCCCAACGTATACAGGGCTCTGCAGGCAGTGAGACAAGGACACCCAGAACAGAAGAGTCAAGCTGAGCGTCACTCAACCATTCACAGGAAGCTTTGTATTCTATGACTAAAGAATAACTAAAGGCAAAACTTTTTTTTTTTAAGTTTTGGATGGAATGGAGAGGGATTAGAACACCTGCCAGGTATTTATTGCCGTCTGTGCCCCCATTATGGAGATTCCCCCTCTCTATTTGTCCTGGTTAACATTATCATAGAAAGTAAAAGAAAAACTAAAAATGTGGGTTGTCCCCAAAAAAGTAATAGAGGGGAAATCTTCCAATGGGGACACTAGTTCTGGTGACTTGTGGGATCCCAAAGAATTCCCTTAATTTGCAGGGATTTCCTCTCACTTCCTGTTTAGCTATTTTCGCTCCTTCTTCAGACTCCCTATGCTGGGACTGATGACAGTTCCTGTGCTGTGTGGTCTATGATTGGACGCTGTGATGTCACAGTACAGTACACGGCTGCTTATCGGTGAACTCCGGCCTTACATCCAACACCACCAGAGCCGGCAGCAGGCGGAGCTCCTCCGACAGGGACTGCAGTTTGTTGGAGGCCAGGATCAGCTTGGTCAGGTCGGTCTGTTCCCACCATCGGTCCGTCCCACCGAACTGCACGTTGGTGTGCGCCTCCTCCGGGGTGTCCACATTTATCCGCCAGACGCTCGACGGCACTGCGGGGGAGACGCAACATGAGGAGGGGCTGAGATCTAAACACCCTCCATGTGTAACCTCCCCCCCGGGGACCACCGATCATCCACACACACTCCGATATGGCTACATCACACAGAGACACCCCATTATTATACCTATCACCCATAGACACCCCATTATTATACCTATCACCCATAGACACCCCATAGACACCCCATTATTACACCTACCGCACCCCCCCATTATTACACCTACCACCCACACACACCCCATTATTACATCTTTTACCCATAGACACCCCATTACACCTACCACACCCCCCCATTATTACACCTACTGCCCACACACACCCCATTATTACACCTATCACCCACAGACACCCCATTCTTGTTCCGATCACCCCGCAGACACCCCCATTCTTGTTCCTATCACCCGCAGACACCCCATTCTTGTTCCTATCACCCGCAGACACCCCATTCTTGTTCCTATCACCCGCAGACACCCCATTCTTGTTCCTATCACCCGCAGACACCCCATTCTTGTTTCTATTACCCGCAGACACCCCATTCTTGTTTCTATCACCCGCAGACACCCCATTCTTGTTTCTATCATGCACAGGCACCCCATTACTACACCTTTCACCCGCAGACACCCCATTCTTGTTCCTATCATGCACAGACACCCCATTATTACACCTATCCACCGCAAACACCCCACTATTACACCTATCACCCGCAGACCCCCCCCCCTTCTTGTTCCTATCACCTGCAGACACCCCATTATTACACCTAACACCCACAGACACCCCATTCTTGTTCCCATCACCCGCAGACACGCCATTATTACACCTAACACCCACAGACACCCCATTCTTGTTCCCATCACCCGCAGACACCCCATTCTTGTTCCCATCACCCGCAGACACCCCATTCTTGTTCCTATCACCCGCAGACACCCCATTCTTGTTCCCATCACCCGCAGACACCCCATTCTTGTTCCCATCACCCGCAGACACCCCATTCTTGTTCCCATCACCTGCAGACACCCCATTCTTGTTCCTATCACCCGCAGACACCCCATTATTACACCTATCACCCGCAGACCCCCGTCCTCGCGGTGCCCCCCGTCTCTCACCCTCGCTCAGGCCTCTCCCGGAAAGGTTCAGCTGTCCGCTCTTCCGGGCCGCATTGATCAATCCCTGGGGAACCGGCGGCTCCTTCTCCTTCTGGTCCCGGAACCCAGCCCGGGGATCCGGAGCTCTCCCTCCCCGCCCGAACCGAGACATGTCCCCGGACAGCGTGCTGCCAGCCGCCCGGTTCAAACTGCGGACCCCGCCCACACCTGACAGTACTGATCGCCGCCACCAGGTGCCGCTAGAAAGCACACACCTGACACTGCCCTGCCTCTGCCCCTAGATGCCGCTATAGAGCAGAGACCTGTCAATGCTCAGTCACAACCACAAGATGCTGCTAGAGAGCACAAACGTGACACTGCCCGACCTCTGCCCCTAGATGCCGCTATAGAGCAGAGACCTGTCACCACCTAGCCGCAACCACAAGATGCCGCCAGAGAGCACACACCTGACACTGCCCCATCTCTGCCCCTAGATGCCGCTATAGAGCCGAGAGCTGTCACCGCTCAGCCGCAGCCACAAGATGCCGCTAGAGAGCACACACCTGACACTGCCCCATCTCTGCCCCTAGATGCCGCTATAGAGCCGAGAGCTGTCACCGCTCAGCCGCAGCCACAAGATGCCGCTAGAGAGCACACACCTGACACTGCCCCATCTCTGCCCCTAGATGCTGCTATAGAGCAGAGACCTGTCATCACCTAGCCGCAACCACAAGATCCCGCTAGAGAGCACACACCTGACACTGCTCGCCTCTGCCCCTAGATGACGCTATAGAGCAGAGACCTGTCACCGCTCAGCCGCAACCACAAGATCCCGCTAGAGAGCACACACCTGACACTGCTCGCCTCTGCCCCTAGATGCCGCTATAGAGCAGACACCTGTCACCACCCAGCCGCAACCACAAGATGCCGCTAGAGAACACACACCTGACACTGCCCCACCTCCGCCCCTAGATGACGCTATAGAGCAGACACCTGTCACCACCCAGTCGTTACCACAAGATGCCGCTAGAGAGCACACACCTGACACTACCCGACCTCCGCCCCTAGATGCCGCTATAGAACAGAGACCTGTCACCACCCAGCCGCAACCACAAGGTGCCGCTAGAGAGCACACACCTGACACTGCCCCACCTCCGCCCCTAGATGCCGCTATAGAGCAGAGACCTGTCACCACCCAGCCGCAACCACAAGATGCCGCTAGAGAGCACACACCTGACACTGCCTCACCACTGCCCCTAGATGGCGCTATAGAGCAGAGACCTGTCACTGCCCAGTCCAAAACCACAAGATGCCCTAGAGAGCACACACCCCTAGCTGCCCCTAGATGGCGCTATAGAGCAGAGACCTGTCACTGCCCAGTCAAAACCACAAGATGCCGCTAGAGAGCACAAACCTGACACCAATAAACTGCTACCACTAGATGCCGCCAGAGAGCCCGGCTTTGTGCCCGTTTGATATCACACAGTACATAGGATACAGAAATGACTTTTTTGGAACTCGGGAAGAATTTCTGTTCATTCTTAAATCAATACAAATCAAACTCGTCATCCATCAATATCAACATGAACTGTTTTTAACGCTTGTGCTGTCAGCTTTAGTGAATAGATAGGAAGGTATATTTACCTATTATAAACTTTTTCTTGTTTTTTTACATTTCTTTAGTTGCTTCCTGGTTTCTGACCTAGGCCAAAAATAACATCATACATCCCATCATCCCATCTCCATGAAAATTTTTTTTCTTTCATCTGGAGAAAGGGAGGAGGAGCTTTCTCAGCTAAGTACACCCCTTCTGCCCAGAGGCGGACTGACCATTTGGAAACTGGGGCACTGCCCGAGGGCCCGGGGTCAGTAGGGGGCCCCATGAGATGCTCCTGGTACCTTTTTCATAGGCTTTTTTTAGTTTGGGCAAGGACACAGGGGCCCAGGGGTGGACTGACAACTCATGAGGCCCCCGGGCAATAGGGGATCATGGGGCCTCTGTGTCCTTGCCCAAACTCAAAAAAGCCTATAAAAAAGGTACCAGGGGCATCTCATGGGGCCCCCTACTGACCCCAGGCCCACGGGCAGTGCCCGAGTTTCCAAATGGTCAGTCCGCCTTGCAGGGGCCCCATGATCCCCTATTGCCCGGGGGCCCCAAGAGTTGTCAGTCCGCCCCTGCTTCTGCCTAAATGCCTGAGTTAGTCCGTATTCACACCTCAGAGTTTTGTAGCACGAAGCTCCAAAACGCTCAGCGGGAAAAAGTGAATATTTCTCATAGAGATGGTTCACATCTCCACTCCAAGTTGCCTGAAGAAGCACACCTGAAGCTCGAAAAAGTTTTGGAGCTACTTTTGTAGCTCAAATTGGACAGATTTGCACATTTTTGGCGTGTTTTTATTCTCATACAAAAGAATAGAAACGTGCGATTGGCGCATTTTTGCGAGCTGTCAAGCAATTTTGTGCAATTTTCTGCTTAAATAAAAATGTTTTTTTTTTATTTGTAATAATATGATTACATAAATGTAAAATAAATACACATATAAATAAAAATCATGATAAATAAATAATAATAATTAACCCCTAACCTTAAAAAATTTGATAAATTATTATTTATTATTAACCACTTGCCCTCCAGGGGATCCCCCCCTTCCTGACCAGGCCATTTTTTGCGTTACGGCTCTGCGTTATATTAACTGACAATTGCGCGGTCATGGAATGCTGCACACCAAATTAAATGTTTGGCCTTTTTTCCCATGAATTAAGCTTTGTTTGTATGGTATTTGATCACCTGTGTGTTTTTATTTTTTGTGCTATAAAAAAAAACCCGACAATTTTGAGAAAAAAACAATATTTTGGACTATTTGCTATTAAACATATCCAGTAAAAAAATGTAAAAAATCAAATTTGATTATAAATTTAGTACAAAATGTATTCTGCTACATGTCTGTGCTAAAAAAAAATCCCAGTAAATGAATTGGTTTACGTGAAACTTATAGCATTTACAAATGGTGGTATATATACTGGAAGTTTTTTTTTACTAGTAATGGCGGCGATCAGCAACTTATAGCGAACCTGCGGCGGACATCCTGACACTGGGGGGGAACTGACTTGGTGTCACTGACATTGCCAGTGACACCAATACAGTGATCAGTGCTAAAAAAAAGCACTGACACTGTACAAATGGCACTAGGCAGGAAGGGGTTAACATGAGGGCCGATCAAAGTGTTAACTGTGTGCTGAGAGTGTTTTACTAGGGGGGGCAGTGTGTTGGTGCTTCACTGTAATCACACTGCTCTGGATGGCTGTGCTGTGCACAGCCATCCAGAGCAGTGTGCCCGAGCTAACAGGGAGGAGGACTGTTAGTAAACAAAGTAGCCCTCCTCCCCGTCGGAGATCCTCAGAAATCACCGGGCGCTGACGGGTAATTACCGGGCAGGACCCGGTGATTGACAGCTGCGGTCGTGAATGGTGGCGAGGGTAGGGCAAGTGCACTCCCCCTACCTGGAAATATAAAATCACATATATATAGGTGATTTTGCGCACCCATGTCACCCTGTAGCAGTATATCTATTGATTTTTTTTTTTATTATTATTATTATTATTAACTGCTTGCCAAGCAGCCTCTGTACAAAAACAGCCACAGGGTGGCACCGCTGTGCAAAATCACGTTTTAAAACGTCATTTTGCAAAACAGGTAGGGGGCGCGTGCAAGGTGTGCGACCGCCCTACCCGTGCCGTCGATCGTGGCTGCGGGTGTCAATCACCGTGTCCCGGATGGTCATTACCCGCCGGGTCCTGACGATTGCCGGCAAACAGTGACACAGAGCATAGCTGCATTGTTTTCAATGCAGCTCTGCTCCCTGTCAGTTCCTAACACACTGTTCCTGAGAGCGGAGTTTAGCTCTCGGGGTCAGTGTGTTCCTGTGATGTACACCCCACCAATGCCCACTAGTAAAACACTCCCCTCACACAGTTAACCCTTTGATTGCCTAAAAAAGTTAACCCCTTCCTCCCCACTGTCATTAGTACAGTGTCAGTGTTTTTTTTTTTTGCACTGATCACTGTATTGGTGTCACTGGGGATGTCAGTGACCCAAAGTCAGTTCCCCCCAATGTCAAAATGTCCACCGCAGTCCCGCAATAAGTCGCTGATCGCCGCCATTATTAGTATAAAAAAAAAAATCCCAGTATCTTTCTCACCATTTCTAGACGCTAAAACTTTCACGAAAACCAATTAATTTACACGTATTGGGATTTTGTTTAGCAAAGACATGTCGCAGAATACATTTTGGCTGAAATTTGATTTTTTAATTTTTTACTGGACATGTTTTATAGCAAAAAGTCCAAAATATTGTTTTTTTTTCTCAAAATTGTCAGCCTTTTTTTTTATAGCACAAAAAATAAAAAACCGCTCAGGAGATCAAATACCACCGAAAGAAAGCTCAATTCGTGGTAAAAAAGGATGTAAATTTAATTTGGGTGCAGTGTTGCATGACTGCGCAATTTTCAGTTAAGTAACGCAGCGACGTAACACAAACCGCTTCTGTAACCGCTTCCTGACCGCTCTATAGTGGAAATACTGCTACAGGGCGGCATGGGTGCGCAAAATCACATATATATATATACATAAGTGATTTGTGCTCCTGTGGTTTTCACGCCCCTCCCAGATAGTGTCAGATTGTCCCTCAGTACACCAGACAACACATTTAACCCCTTGACTGCCAGGAACACGCTCATGCACAATAAACCTCCATTGCTAGTATAGTGTCTGAACAAATCAATATCTTTGATCAGATCAGCACTATGCCAGCGTTCACATTAGTATAGCTTCCCCAAAAATGCAGCGTTAGTGGGATCAGCCCTGGCATCTGCCAACACCTGCATTTAGCCCCTATGCTTACCCCCCCCCTCTTCTCCCCAGCAAGTGCAGTGTCAGTAGGTCATTGTCACTCTCACTTGATACATTGCACACAAAACTGCAGTGTTCGCAGAATCAGGCCTGATCTCTGTTAGCACTTGCCTGTAAATTTTGATGACTCTCATATGCAGCAGTGCCAGTACTAGTGCTGCGCTACCTTTTGGTGAACTGGTGAGTACCAGCGGTCTAGTACATCTTGGTCTTTCACATATCTCTTAGATTGTAAGCTCCCAGGACCAGGGCCCTTCTGACCCT